GTACTGAGCTACATAGACAGGGGCTTGTTGATATTTCCTATGGGTTACAATTTTTGCCCTTGTAAGATATTATTTCTTATTATTTTAATGGTCCTATTGATTTTAAGGCAATTGAGAACAACTTAGAGTTGGCTATTGGGATTGTGACATCAAAAGATATCTAGATAGTTCTCATGGAGGGGACTTTGATTTATTTGCATTTTTCAACCTTATTGGTTAAAATGCTATAAAAGTCATCAAGTGTTCACTTATACTTTCAGAAGTCATATTTCACAGCAGAGATACAATATTAATCAAATGAATGAAATATAGCCCTATGGTTTTACAAGGGATGTGATATATATATGACTGTTTTCTAATCCAAATGATATTTTTGCTTAATTTGTTAAACAGATACCCACTAGCTCTTATGGGGATAATTTTAGCTAAAGGGATGTTATTTTGGTACATATTTCACAGTTTATATAGAAGCAGATGATCACCTTCCCACAAGAACCTTCAAATGCCACATTCAGCACATCTCAGTGTAATTGCATGAAGTATTTAAGCAACTGACAATATGGAATATATTTCTCCCACTGACCATCTCACTAATGCCATCATCTGTGCTTTTTCTTATTTCTTTCTCCTCTGTGATATACAGTATAGGTTGTGATTGGTGGCAGTTGTGACTGCAACAGCAACTGTCCTATAAGAAAGAGAGCTGTATAAATGTAGTTTCATAGTAGCTAGGGTCAGGAGGGACCTGAACAGATCATCTAACCTGATCCCCTGCCACAGGCAAGAATGAATGCTGGGTTCACAAGACCCCAGACAGGTGATCATCCAACCTCCTCTTGAATTTGCCCAAGGTAGGAGCGAGGACCACTTCCCTGGGAAGTTGGTTCCAGTTTTTGGCCACCCAAACTGTAAAATATTGCCTTCTGAATGGACTTAGGAGGAATGAGGAAGCTTTCCTAATGGGCAGTAGTTTTCCAGGTCTTCATTGCTCTGTAAGTACCTGGTCCAGCCTGTTGGACTCGATACGAAGACTCCTTCCATAGGGTTTGAAATAAGCCCTAAATGCAGAGTCAAGGCACAGCTGCTTATTTTTAATTGAAGAGACTGACACAGACAAAAGCTCTAGTGACTGGTTTCCATTATACCCAGTGAACCTTTTGAGTTTGTCTGTTCATTGGTGGGCAGTATTCACCAGGCCTGACTTGCTAATTATAAAGTGCCTCAGCTTCACCCTTGCAGGGGTGTAGGTTGTATCCGTGTTGGTCTAAGGACATAGGCAGGTGTAGTCAGCTTCACTCTAGCAGGGGTCAGCATATCATTACTGATTTACTGATTCTTCCCAATAATCCTTCATTTGACTTGTGATGGTCTTTAAGGGTTAGAGGACAAACTTTATTTGTTTCAACCAATCAGAAACTACTTTGGATATAACAATACTTAAAAAAGTGCTAGAACTTTCAGTATGTTGTCATCCTTGTTTTCTTCTGAGACTTTGTGCCTGTTTTCCATTTCTGTTCAATGTGCCCGTTTATCTCCTCCCTATAATAAAGGGCTATGTGTAAGGTATCCTTAGGATTTGCAGGATTTAATTAGAATGGATTTATGCTGATTAGAGTTGATGGGATTGAAATGCCGTGTAGTTATTAATTTCCTTGTTTTAATTTTGCTACTTAGTCATATGCTACCAAAAATATCCTAGGAAAGACTTTTCCCTTGTAGAATGGCAAAATTGATAAATAAATGCTTCACAGTATAGTTCATTTTAAAAACTATGTACAATAAACTATTGACTTTTCAAACTTTACATATGAATACCGATTAGTAAAACTGGTCGATAATTAAAAGAAATAGTCACAATTTTTTAAGCTGACTTTTAAAATAAAGCATTTTTGTGGGAGTTCCTATTAACATTTTCTTCTGTTTTTTCCATTACATTTTCAAAAATGTAATTTCACTAACATCTGAAAATTGTGAATTTTTTTTTAAATATCCTGATTAGTGATTTGCCATTCTGTAGCATCTGCAGGGCAGGCACATTTTCTGAAGTCCTAGACAACAATTGATCAAACCACACAGTCCCTCTTTAGAGGAGATACGGATGTGTACAGCACATATGTAAAGGGGGCTTGTAGGCTTGTTTCTGCACAGCAGTTCCATGAATCTGTATCTGGTTTAATTCCAGTTTTAATTGGGGCATTTCTTTTCCTCTTGCTGGCACTAGGAAGTGTACATCATCATCACTTGGTCCCACTGTATGTGGTGAGAAGGAAGAGCTGACCATGGTACTAGTGTCTGCCTTCTTTTGTGGTTACTGCCTGGGGTGGCAGCTTCAAGTGTTGGGAATTTATGTGCGTTTCTTATGGGGGACTGCTGAATCAGCATATCTCAGCCACATTAGCTCTGCCCCACTCAAAGACCAATGCTTGCTGTGTGCTCTTGTGGCCTGTTACAAAATCATAGAAAATTAGGGTTGGAAGGGACTTCAGGAAATTATCTAGTCCAACCATCTAGCTCAAAGCAGGACTGCCCTCAACTAGATCATTCCAGCCAAGGCTTTGTCCAGCTGGGTCTTAAAAACCTCTAAGGGCAGAGATTCCACTACCTCTCTGGGTAACCTGTTCCAGTGCTTTACTACCTTCCTAGTGAGAGAGTTTTCCCTAATATGTAACTTCAACTTCCTTTGCTGCAACTTGAGACCACTGCTCCTTGGTTTGACATCTACCACTCTTAAGATCAGTGTAGATCCATCCTCCATTACACTTCAGGTAGATAAAGAGTGCTATTATATACCCCTCAGTCTTTTCTTCTCTAAACTAAATAAGCCCAGTTCCATCAGAAGTCATGTGCCCCATCCCCCTAACCATTTTCATTGCCCTCTGCTGGACTCTCTCCAATTTGTTTATATCCTTTCTGTAGTGGGGACCCAAAACTGGACACAGGACTCCAGATGTGGCCTCCCCAGTGTCAGTAGAGGGGAAGAATCACTTCCCTCAATCTGCTGGTAACACTCCTACGAATGCAGCCCAGTATGCCATTAGCCTTCTTGGCAACAAGGGCACGCTGCTGGCTCCTAGTCAGCTTATTGTCCACTGTCACCCCCAGTTCCTTTCTGCAGAGCTGCTGCTTAGCCAGCCAGTCTCCACCCTCTACCAGTGCATTGGATTGTTCCTAAGCGCAGGACTTGCATCCTAAGTGTGGAGGGTAAGATGACTGGTATGTTCTGCAGACTGGTCAAAGACAAGCCTTGCCAGACAAACTGTCCTTTAAAGGTACTTCCAGGGTACAGGAAAGGTACAACGGGCATCACCCCACTTGTTCTGTTGTGAGAGAGAAACCTAGTTTTTAAAGCCATCAATACAGGAATTTTCAGTGGAAAAAAATAGCTGCCATTGACCTATTTGACATTGCTATCAATTATGTCTCTCATGTGCTTCTTTTTATATATTTTTTTTATTAAAAGGGGTTTCTTCTCCTCTTAGTACACATGCATCTCCCTCGTTAATGTTAATAAGAACTTAGGCATGCCAGGTTGATTTTCCATCTATTTTGGTATCCTTCTCTGACACTGGCCAATGTCATACACTGCAAACAATGGCACAATTCCACTCCTCCTCTGCCAAAATGCACCTGGAAACACTAGCGTCTTTTATGCAGATCTAGACTTTTTAAGAATCCCCTAATCACCAGTCCTACCTCAGTTGATTTTTAATGTCCCTCTAGAGCCTATAAAAGTTGCAGGCATGTGGGGGCAGACTATAAGCCTGATCCAAAGTCCATTAACATTAATGGAAATATTCCCATTTACATCAGTAGGCTTTGAAACAGACCATACCCTCTTGAACATCTATTCAAATTAGATTACTAGTTCCTGTACTGAATATGTATTAATATTTACATTTTTTCTAGCATTATGCTGAGTCGATATTTTTTTCTTTTTCCCTAGCTGTCTAGCATCTGTAAAGGGAAGAGACTGATAATTTAGCATACATCTCCCTGGGTACCGTAAGACCATGTTTAAAATAAAGGTAAGTGAACATTGTGTTTAGAGATGGACCTAAACCAGGAACAAATCTAGACACCTTTATGCTTTGGGGAAATTCAGTGCTGCCTCCCTGTTTTGTAGGTTGGACACCACCTTGTCACTGAATCCTAGAAATGCTGGGTTTACAATTCCAAAGCAAGACACAATCCTCACCCTTGTCAGGTAAATCTACCAGGGAAGTCAAGAATGGAGTGCGCAGGATCAGGATCTGATTAAGGCTGGATTGTCTACAGTGCCTAAATCTAATATATTTTTATTTGATTTGGATGTTTTGTATCAGTAGAAGGTAGCTGGGCGTAAAAAGAGGCCAGCACTATTATTCAACATTATTAATGATGTTGTCTCCTGGTAGATTCTCAAAAACTAGAAAACTAATAAATTTTACATATTGAAAACAATCACAGATATATCAAACAAATATATAAATTCTTTAAAGTATTTAATATATGTTAAGAGGACAGAATGATAAATTCAATATTGAAAACCAATATCAAGTTTACAATTACATGCCATTTATCATCACTGATTGCATAGACAGCATCTTATTGCGGGGAACAAAATGATTCATAAACTGAAACCCTGAATAGTTCTATAAAAACAAGGAAAAATTCCTGCTACATCTTGGAAGTCGTGTTTTTCTTTTCTACCATTATTGTTCAGAAACAAATTGTACATGCTTAATTTCTTGAGTTTTAATGTTAAAAATGCAATACTTTTGTGAGAGGTAAAGCTGTCTCTTACAAAAAAGAATATGATTCAATAGTATGTATTTTTTCTCAGGCCTGATTCTCGTTTTCTGAAAAAAGAAATGGCATATGGAAAAAGTGGAAGTAGAAAAGAGGCTAGGTTCTGAGTTGCACAGGTGGAAGCGAGCAAACAGAAGCATCAGTGTATTTAACTAAGGTGATTTGACTGAAGGAAAGTTTGTACTAAGGATGCCTTTTTATTTAGCAGGTCTGCTTCCTGGGAAAAATCTTGGACCCAATGAAGACAGCAGCACTGGGATTTCACTGCCTGTGTAGACTGTAAGTCAGCTATATTACTTCTAGCTCCTATAATCCTAGGAGAGCTCTGGAAGAGGGAACTGAATTCTTTTCTAGCTTGCATTTGATCAGCAGAATTATTAAGTAGTTTCCTGTTGCAAAACCACTATTGCAACCTCATTTTCTTCAGATTCTGCTCTCAGTGACACCAACTTGAGGACTAGCCAGGCGTAACCAAGGCATATTTCAGAACACCTATGTCTGAGAACAGATCTTTGTAACTGGTTCTGATTCAGAGGTCAGAAAGAGCCTGACTTGACTTTCAGATCCTAGGTTGACTTCATAGGTGGGCTGTGTTGAGCCAGCACAAGAAGATGGAATTGCAGCATCATTTTTATTGTAAATTGTGCCTGTTTAATGTGGAGTATTGAAATGTAGTTAGTGTGAGGCCGTACAGTGCTACTGTATTTCCACATCCCTTTCTACAGTAGTATTGCTCCTTGAGTAGGCTCTAACATAACGGGAGTTTAAACCGTGCCTACAGTCAGAAGCACTAAAACTTACTAAAGCATGAGTGCCCAAAGTGTGGCCCATCAGCCAGATGCGGCCCACCACCCATGACTGCCCCTTTGAAATGGCCTCCCAGGCACGACACTTTGGAAACACCCATACTAAACTCTCTAATTGTAGGCTTATCTCAGAAAGGGCAGAAGCTGACATTGAAAGAATAAAAGAATAACTCACAATAATAGATGAGTGGGATTTTGTCCCAGTAAGACCAGGACAGGCCTTTCCAGCATGGAAAAAAGAGAAAGCTATACATTTAGGGTGCAGTGTAATATCTGTTACTGATGCCAAAAATGCTACAGACTACCACAACTTCACAGAGTATCCCCAGCTACTCACTGGGAACGCTGGATTAGTCAAAACACTGTGGAAACGACAATAGAGCACCACAGCTCTTTGTTGGCTACACAGCTGAGAAGGCTGAAGACATCCACTTGCAAGTGTCTGGCCTAAATTATGTTCAATAAACTTCAGGTGTTTCAGAGAAGTCAGCAGAATACAGAGCTGTTAATGTGGAAGATCTGGAAAGCCAGCTCTGTTCTGCTGCTGGGCAGCCATGGCAGTGAGCTGCTGGTCAAAGCCAGCGCAATCAGTCCAGAGCAACTGGAGTTTTTAATACCCTTATGCAAATAATAATAATAAAAAAGGAATTAACTTGGATCTATTTGTTCAAGAAATTAAGTTCAAAACTTAATCGATATTCAATTGTATTAAATATTGAGAATAAGCTAACAGAGAAAGGTGGCAGCTGATGTATTATTGATGCTGCTGCTGAAGAAGTTTCTAAAAACTGGTGGAAGGAACAAGCAGGTGGGGGAAGTTCTCAGCTGCTCCCCCGGCTCCTGCCCCTGCCCCTGCCCATGTAAGCAGCGATAGGGGGGAAAGGAAAGTAGCCTGGAGCTGGGGTGGCAGCAGCAGTCCCTGCCGGCACCACCCTGGCCTGGGCTCGGCTGGGACGAGACACGAGCCTCGGAGCCGGGAGGAGGTGGGAGCGCGGGGACCAGAAGTTGTGCGGTGGTGGGAGCTAACAGCCAGCCCAGCCCGCTCCGCTCCGCTCCCTCGTCCTTCTCGGGTACTAGGCTCGCTCCCGGCGCAGGGCCAAGGGCGCCGGCAGCGCGTCCCCCGCGCCACAGCCCGCC